GGGAAGATACCCAGCAGGGGAATAGCTGAGTCAAATGGGACCTCTAGTCCTAGTTCTTTGCAGTATCTCCATACTGACTTCTGGGGAAGTATCTTGATGAGAGAAAACTCTTGGAGAAAGAAATGTGGGACTGTACATCCTTAGTTCATCCTTAAAAGACCACTGTACTGTGTGGCATCTCACTGGCACCTGTCCAGTGCTACCTCAGTAATCATCATTCATTGGTTCCAGAGTTGCAATCAGTACCAAAAACAACAAGCACCAAATTGTTTTGACGGGAAAGGGTAGCAAGTCACAAGGTGCCAACAAGTTCTAGCTTATCCATAGAGTACCAAAGAAATAATTAGTACCAGGATAAAACTTTCATGTCAAAATGTATCGAGTACCAAACTCAACAAGTTTCAAAGCAGTGGGGAACCAAGGCATGACTGCATTTTGCTTGTTTCTTTGTTTGCCCAGCCTTAGACCTTTTAATCTGCTAACTGAACGATCTCATCCACAGCTATTATTTCCCACTATCTTGATGCCAATTGTTTCATGTTGAGCAACTCTGGGCTTGTGAGAGGGAAGATGGGATTGGATGAAGGTTGGGTTGGTGAGAGTGGCAATGATACCAGTAAAATGTGGACAGATGGATGCAAATAATAGCATTTATGAAGTTTTCCATGGCCCAGGCATTGGCCTACATACTTGACATACACCAGCTCACGTTATATCACCCAAGGGGGTGGACATGGACACAGAAAAGTTACACGGTTTGCCAAGGCCACTTGCTATGCAGTGGAGTCAGACTATGGACCCAGCAAGTCTGATTTTGCAGTCTATGCTCTTAACCCCCACCTCTCCGTGACCAGAGGCTCAGAGTTCACTGGATCAGTACAAGTTAGGATTCTTGCAGCTGTAACAGAAATGCAGTTCAAACTTCCATAACCCAAAGAGGGTGGATCTCAACCAGGGCTGAATCCAGGACTCCAAGGAGTAGTCCGAGATTTTCCTCTCTTTCTGAGTATTGACCACCTTTTTCCTATTCATGATGGGCCCCATGTGTGTGGTGGGAAAGATGACCAACTTCACATTATGACAATACAGTAAGCTGGATGCCAGAGGAAGGCACTCCCACTAGCACCAGGAGGAAAGTCCTGGTCAGCTGGAATCACATAGCTATAGGACAGTCCTCTGGATGGCCCTAGATTGATACAGTCCTCCCTCCTTTCTTGCTTGTGGCTCTCAAAAATACCTGTAGAATGTGTAGCATCCAGAGATAGGGACAGAATGGCTAGGAAAGCTCATACAAACTGTCCCCTCCTACAAACAATTCCTTCAACACTTTAGCCCAGTGAGCCATATCTTGAGGTATATAACCCAGGGGAGGTTCCCTTTCAGGGCCCCTCATTTGCAGTCCAAAGAGGACATGTACTATCCACCCAGGTATCTTTTTAATCCTGAGGAGACCAGCTCTTGCCCTGGCTGCTTCTCTATGAATAATAAATCTGTTCCATGCACCTTGCTGCATATAAGCTTGTTCTGTCACTTCTAGCCCCAAATAAGTTGGTCACCAGTGCATAGCTTCATACAGAGATGACTGCCTCAAGAGCCCTTCTTTACCCAGCCAGACTTGGATCATGTGCTCACACCCATGGCCAGGGCTGAGATGAAGAGAGTATGCCAGGGTTTGTTACCAGGAGAAAGGAGAAGCACTGACTTCCATGAATCCCAAGATGTCCATCATAGCCAAAGCTTGACCTAGACAGGTAAAGGTGTTAGCCCAGAGTACTGAGATTCCAGGTTGCAGGGAGCTACAGAGACAGTGCTAATGCTGAAAGTTGCCCATGTGCAGGGCACCTCAAAGTTCTAGTTTTTGGTATGTAAGAAACCAGAGAATAAGAGCATATATTCAAGAGACTCTGAAAGGACAAATGCCCGAAAACTCAGCCCAAGTGATGACTCTCAAGAGATAGTGAGACCAGGGGGCAAGATAGGAATGGTTGTGAGACTTCTCACTGTGTACCTTTGTATCCTGTTTTTAACCATTTAAAATACATTACATACCATATTTTTTAAATAATTCCCAAAAATTATCCATAGAAAAAAGCAGGAAAATAGGCTAAAATGATAACTGTACCAGTTTTGGAATATCAGGTGTAAGCAGGATTTTTTCTTTGAATTAATTTCCAAAATTTCCTAAAATGAGCATATACTCCTTTTTATAATGAAAAAAAAGAAACTAAGCCATCTGACCTAGATAAAATATAGTATCAATTGATTTCTCCTTCCCTATAAATCAAGTCACCCTGTGGCTCCCCATCCATCCCTTGCATCAGAAGGCTGAACAATTGAGCTTCAAATTTCAAAGCAAATTTGGCGTGGCAGCAGCAAGAAAATAGTTTTGAAAGTAAGGCTTGGTTGAGAAAAGGAATTTGTATATTTCTAAATTCCAAGTGATTTTTGTGTGTCTGTGCGTATATCCTGGGATTAAGCCCAGGTTCTCACACATGTTAAACACACACTCTATCACCAAGCTACACCCCAGCCTGAATTTCTAAATTTCAGATTGTTTCCCCTACAAAGAACATGGGTGGTGGTCTGAGCCTATTAGCTACCATTGGAGAAAGGGCAGAATTTGTCAGGCAAGAATTCGTCCCCTCTTTGAGAAGGGTGAAAGCCCACTGTTGCCTGAAGTGTGAGGCTGCTGCAGCAGAGAGTCTGAGAGGGGCAGATGAGGTGGGAAGACTGGTGGCCTCTGAAGGACCCGCCCCAGCTGGATGGACAAACTCCACATGTATTGAGGGGAAGAAAATTCTCATGGACTGAATTATGTTCCCCAAAAATTTCTCTGTTCCTTCCCAATCTCTAGGATTGAAGAATGTAACCATATTTGGAGATAAGGTCTTTAAAAGAAGTGATTAAGTTATAGTGAGGTTGTTAGTGTAGGGCTGGTGTGCTTCTAAGAAGAGGAGAGGCTGGGGATGTCAATCGGTGGAAGAGTACATCTTAGCATGCACAAGGGCATGGGTTTGATCTCCAGCCCAAAGAAGGAGAAGGAGAAAGAAAAAGAAGAGAGCAAAAGATAACAGGGCTACAGGTGCACAGAAGGATAACAATGCAACCACATAAAGAGGCAGCAAGAGAGTGTCCACCTGCTAACTGAGGAGAGAGGCCTCAGTAGAGACCAACCTGGCACCTCGATCTTGGACTTCAAATTTCCAGACTATAAGAAAATAAGATTTCATTCTGATACAGAAAGCAGCTTGCAGAGTGTAGCCCCAGCAATACTGAGTGGCCAAGAAAAATGGAAATGGCCACCTGGCATGGTTAGGCCAAGAGGCCAGGCTGAGATAGTTCTCCTAGCAGGGGAGTTTAAGAGACCCAGAAGTTTCCATGAGTACTGGAAGGGAGACAGGAGGAGCTGTGAGGACCAGTGAACTCCCAAGAGGCCAGAGAGGTGGGGCCAGGCAGCATCCAAGCACAGGAACCTCAGCATGAAGGGAAATGGACAGATTACTAGTGTCTATAGTGAGGGCTGGTGTGGCAACACACAAACCAGAAATGATGAGCAGTCTCATTCAAAACACATACACCATGCCAGAGACCTAGCCACATCAGCCATGCCATAACAATCTTCAGGATAGCTACCGTGAGAAAAGTACCCTACACTGCCCCAGTGTTACACAAGTGTCCGTGGACCCTGGAGCACCTGGGGAAGAGGAAAAGGAAGAGGAGGAGAAAGTTTGAAAGAGTATTTCCCCCCAAGAAAACAGTTTTTATTCAGAAACATTTAAGTTACCTTTCATTGATGTTTTTCACGTTTTTTCATCATATTTTTTTTGCACCCCTGCATTTTTGTGCTTCCATTTCTAACCAAAGCATCTTGATAGGAAGGCATCCATAAGTAAAACATAAAAAAAATGACCAAACCTTGATCAAAGCAGTTTTTAAGCCTCAGGCATCATAGTAGAGAATTCAGAGTGTCTTGAAAGTCACTGAACCAGGGAGAGATCCAGAGCCCTAAGGAGACTGAGTAGCATGAGCTCTCTCTACAGATGAAGCATGGTGCCCAGGAGCCATGTTCAATGAGGTTCAGGTCTGTCAAACTGGAGGGTGAGCTCCAACCTCGCATCTTGGAAGCCCTTCCTGCTTTTTCCATTCTTAAAAGAGCAGATGTTCTCCTGGGAAAGAGATATTTAGCTACTCAAACAAATCAGGGAAGTGGGGGAATGGAAATAAACCAGGCAGTTGCCTGCTACCGTGGCTGTGCCCAAAGAAATCACATTAGCTAGAGGGCAACATCCGGCCCAAGGGAGGGCAGCTCAGCTTGGCCCAGTTCCTGCCCAGGACCAATGACGAATACAACTGTCTTTGTTCTGGTTCGAGACGCGAAAGACAGTCTGTGGGGTTATTTGTCTAGTTTGTTGACTCTCATAAAAGACATTCATAAATTTATTCTTAGTGCCAGGAGTGCTTACTGGTGTCAAAGTGGAGTCTTTTCAGACAGTTGCTCCATGTTAAAACAAGCCACTCAGATGCATCTATAAATAATTGTCTAGGTTTCGTTTAGCTAACAAATGCCTTTTTCTCCCTCTCCCCCTGTCTTTTTAAAATCAACTCTAAAATGATTTCATAAACAACGGGAGGAATTTCCCATTAATATTAAAGTGTGTCTGGGTTGGTCATTTAATAGAACTTTCCAGAGGGAACAAGTAGTCCTTCCATCTATCCACGTGAAACCCGTTCCCTTTTCAGAACAAGACATTTGGCAACTCAGCCCTGTGAGGACCAGTCAGAGCTTCCTCTCCCTTCCATCCTCTGTCCATCTCTCTCACTGCTCAGGCCAAACAGAGGAGCTCGGCCAGGCTGTGAACAGCAGCAGCCTGAGCCAGTCAGGAAATGTGTCACCACCCAGAGGCCTTCAGTGTTTCTGCTCTGACCTTAGGTCTCCAGAATTCTACTCCTCAGGCCACCACCTAAGAGAGAAAGGTGAAATTATACTTGTGTCAGTTTAATGGGTATAGTAGAGCTAGCTCCCTTCTGCCAGCTCCCTCACAAATAATAGCAGCTGGAATCAGTCAGAAATGTATTCTTTTTTACATATAAGAAGCCCAGAGATAGACAGCCCAGGGTTGATATGATGGCTCCACTTGTCATCTTCTGATTTTGTAATTCACTGTCATTGTCATGTCATCTCGTGGTCCAAGGTGGCTGCTCAAGTCCAGATATCATGTCTCCATTCTACAGAGCCAGAAGAAGAAAGAGGAAATGAGAGCGTTCCCTCTTATTCGAGGACATTTCCTGAAACTACCATACAGTCCTTGTTCTTCTCCTGACAGAATTTAGTCAGGTGACCTTGCCTAGCTGCCAAAGAGGATGGGACATGTAGTCTTTTTTAGCTAGGTAGAAGTGTTACTTGAAAGGGAAGAATGGATATTGGGAATGGACCGGCCATCTCAGCCACAATTATAACATCCTCTAGAGTCTGCCAGCACCTCCAAAACCACCCCACACATAATCCTACCCCTGTGCTGTTTCAAAGGGCCTCTATTTCTGGACCTCTTTTCTTAACAGCTCCTTTTCTATGGTTCACTTTTTCTTTCTCAGAGTTGAGATTCTGAGAAGTCGGACCAGCAGACTGAGTTCTCAGCAAGTCAGGGGCAAATGTCTGAAACTCCTGCCCCATGAGCCATCTCCTACATGCTGAAGGTCCTAGGAAACCAAGGACACAAATCACTCCCAGAGGACCCCTAGAAATAGAACTTGAAAGCAAAATTTAAGTCTTGCTTCACTGTTGCCTCACTCAGAGACCAGCACAAACCTGTCAGCCCTGATGAGCCCCCACCAGGGAAGGTTCCAGAGGCAAGGTCAACGGTAAAGTGTTCAGGTCAAGACTCACAGGGAGCCCCACCACCGCCATCATCATCTTCCTCTTCCCTGTTACCTGCATCAACATCACCATCTCAGTTAGCATTTATAGTAACTTCTCTGAGCATTCCACATGCATTAACCCATTTAATCCTCACAGCCACTCTATGCTGTAGGTTGTATTATTGCCCCTGGTTGAGGAAACTGAAGCACAGATGGCTAGGAACATGCCCAAGGTAGACCTTTAAATATTGCTAGAGCACAGATTTGAACGTGGAGGCTTAGCTTCTAGAGCCAGAGAAGTAGCTGTGTCTTGATTGCATCCGTGTCAGGTGAACACCAGTTTCATGAGACCTTTACTGGGCATTCCAGAAGGAAAGGTGCTGGTTCAAGGGTTTAGAAAACAATGGGCCAAAAAGGAAAATAAATATCCTTTTCATTGCAGGCCTTCTCAGAGCCTTCAATGTGCGAAGGTATGGATCTCTGGAGGAAGTAGTGTCTAAACTCAACTGACCGTGCTCTCCAGGTTGGAGACACCTATCAGCATTACACAGGACTAGTACGTTGTTGAATGTAACTTCAGGAAGGCTGCCTGGTGGTTTGTTTTGCTTTTCCATCCCTAGTTGTTTTCTTGCTTCACCTTCCTGTGGCAGCTGCTTGGGCATCCTTATACCACTAACCTTACTCGTGAATAAATGGATTTCATGGGGAAGACATTGTTCTGACACTTGGGCCTCCATAGCCTTGGTTACTGGCAGTCAAGAAGTTGGTGTGGATTGGTACAGGTGCTTAGCTCTACTAGTGGGGTGACACAAAAGGCAAGAGGTCGGCCAATACAGGCCAGGTACAGTCTGTTGCAAATCCCTGAGAGAAAGGGGCAGTGTCTGGGGTCTCAGACAAGGAGTGGAGCCCAAGATGAAGTTGGTCTGCAGGACCCAGAATGGACTCAAAGGGGCAGGGGATTGTCCACAATGCTTCTGGGCTCTTGGCCAGAATACATGTGGAGTTTTGTAAAATGAAATGATGTCTCTGCACTACCAAGTCCTCCCTCTCCACACACAGAGTGCCTTTTGCTAGGTTGGTAGCACCTTCCATACCTGTTTTGTTTCTGAAAGCCCGAGTCTTTAAGCAGTGTTTGGGAGTCTATGTCCCTCTGCGAGCCCTTTAGCTGGTGTCTGAAGGTCACGGGGTCTGAGAACCCAGCACTCTACCAATTTACCAGAGGAACTGACACTCCCGAGTCCCTGGCAGGATCTGACTCAGGTGACCCTCCAGGAACTGTGTCAGCAACATCTCCCTTGGCCTCCAACCTATCCCACCCCACTTCCCATCAGCCCTCCCCCATTCCCTAGCAGGACCCCCCTCAAACATCAGCTACATGCAAACCCTCATGGACTCTGCCAGATGTCACTGAAAACACCAGGGCCAACAGGCCAGGCCAGCTGGGCTCCGAGCATTACCCGCAGAGCCTAGGGCTGAGTGTCTATGTATCCTCCTGCCTAACCACTCTCATCATCCCAGTCCCAGAAGGCTACACACAACCACACAGGCTGCTGCTTCTCTCCCTCCCTCCAGGCAGCCTCAGAGCAGGGAGTGAGCTGCTTCCAGAGTGCCCACCACCCAGAGCTGTCCCACAGGGAAGGAAAACCAACCTGGCTCCCTGCCTGAGAAGAAAGACAGAAGAGGTGACATGGGTCACATAGGCATGCAATTTTCCATCCACACTGAGCCCTGGAATCTTGGCCACCCTGCATGATGCCCTCAGGTTCCTCCCCTCTTCAAGCTCGCCTTTGTCTTGCCACACATGCCTCTGGAATGTTCAGCGGTCACCACCTCAACTGCCATGGTCCAGTGACCTGGAACCAGGCCCTTCTTGGATGAGCCCTATATGCCACGTGCCAGGAGCACAATGGGTGCCCCCAGTTCTGCAGCTCCTAGGGGATGGGTAGCCAGAACTGCATTCTTTTGCTCCCACTAAATAAGCATCTACTCAGAACCCAAAGGGGAAAGAGAAACTCAGCTCTTGATGGTGTTCACTTTATAGGTGCTTTTTGCTCTGTCCTGGTTCTGAAGGGCAAAATAGCCACAAGAAGTACATAAATCCTGTCCCCATCCTGAGCAGACCTGGCTGGTTTGGTTTGGTTTTTGTGGTATTGGGGATTAAATTCAGGGAACTGTACCACTGAGCTATATCCTATCCCTTTTTCTTTTTTTTAAATTTTGAGACAGCATCTTGCTAAGTTGTCCAGGATGGCCTTGAACTTCCATCTTCTGCTTCAGCCTCCTAAATACTTAGGATTACAGGAGCACACTACTACACCTGGCTAGATAGGTCTGTTTTGGTCTGCTCAGGAGCTACTCCCTTTCCTACCAATTAGAACTCTGACCATGTGTTAGTTACCTTTCCTTGCTAGGATAAAATACCTGGTACCTAAAACTCAAAAGAAGAGAGGTTTATGCTGGTCCATTGTTTCCCATGGTCACCTGGCTCCAAGGAAGAAATATCATGGTGGAAGGGAGTGCCAAAAGAGTGCTCACCTCATGGCACCTAGGAAGCAGAGAGACAGAGAAGAGCCAGACAGGTAGGGCCAGGTCCCAAGGACTAGATGTAGTCCTCAAGATCATGACCCACACAGATATATCCACAAGTGTGCTTTGCTAATCTCCTAGGTGTCTCTCAGGCTAAACCCGTTGACAGTCAAGATTAACCATCCCAGACCATGTCCTTTTGAAGGATCCCATGGTGAGTGGGTGGTCTGGGACTGGCCGATCAGAGCAGAACAAAATAACCTCAGCCACATACATGCCACATAACTTCTGGGGCAACAATGGACCTCATCTGTCATGGTGGGTAGGTGATATACACATCTTTCCCCATGCTCTGAGCAGATCACTCTAGGTTTGCTCCTCCCTTCAAATACCGTTCCAAAGAATTCTCTTTCACTTCAAATCTCCCTGCTCTGAACTCTTGCATCATTTTCCCATCTGTACCACTTACAAATTCTTTTGCCGCTGGGTATTTTCAGGTAATAATCTGTGCCCAAGTGTTGTGGCCCCCAAAACTATGTTTCTTCACAGTTCAGGCATATGCTAAACCTGTAACCTGGTCCACAGCTGCCCTGTGGCTAAAGGTGGTTATAATCTCAGGATTCCATTTTTTGTTGTTGTTTTTCCACATGGGGTCTCATTACATAGTCCAGGCTGTACTTGAACTTGCTATGCACTCCAGGGTAGATGTAAATTTGTGATCCTCCTGCCTCAGCCTCATTATAGCTATGTGTTATCACACCTGGCTCAGGATCCCCATTTTAAAGTAGAGAGGGCAGCTTGAAGTAAACAAGCCACTTGGCAGAAGTCCTCCAGATAGATGTGCCGAACAAAGACCCATTAAGATGAGAGCTTTCTGGATCATACCTCTCTATTTCACAGGCACACCCTGGACCCAGTTCCTCATGTCCTCTAGTGATTCCTCCCAAACATCACTAATGGACGCATCTGCTATGAGTAGATTTCAGGAAGATGTCGTTCAGGCATGAGGAAGGACCACACGGCATCCGGGATTCCTCTCCTGGTGCCCTGATCTGTGAGTTGATGGGGCAGGTTCCCACTGACCACTCCCCATGCCTCCTGCCTCCACCCGCTCTGCCCAGGCTCCATGCCCTGTACACAGAGGACCATTCACCACCTGGCCAGGAGGCAGGCATCACTCCCAGGGAATTCTGAGGCAGCCCTCGCTCAGGAGGTGAGAAGGCAGCTCACTAACAAACGAGCAATTCTCCCCTAGAACAGAAGAAATTCAGTCCCAATCAAGGGCTCATACTGTCCGTCCATGACCAAAACAACCCACACCCATTTGCTGAACCTTGAACTGGGCCCAAACATTAATTTTGTTACTGAACAGTGGAACAAACTAAAGTGTTTTTTTCCAGAAAAAAAAAATAGCAGACCAGCTTGAACCTGAGCTGAACCTGTATATTTTTTTAAAACTACTGAACAGGAACAAAAATCAGACATCAACATGTTCTGCAAATGAAACCAGTATTTTGTTCAATACAACTTTTTGATTAGAAAAAAAAATCAGGAAGATGTAGGGAGAAGAGGAACACTCTACCTCCCTCGTGTGACTCTCAGGATGCAATAGTGCTCTCAGGAACGCTACATGAAAAAGGCAGACTGACTTTTCCTCAGTGCAGAAGGGAAACAGTATGATTTTATTTTAACCCCTGCCTATGGACGAATCAGAAACTTTCAGAACATTCAGTTCCCCCTCACACTGACAAAAGCACTTCAGTGATTGATCTGTTATAATAACATAGCCCAAAAACATCAGCCAAGAAGACAGAGCTTTGGGTGCTGGTCCCAGCTGCCCAAGTGGCCTCAGATATGTCACCCTGCGGCTGTGCCTGCCTATGTAGTTCAGTGGCTCTCTGGCAGCATGACACAGTCCACCTGACGCTGGTGCTGGAGGGCTCACACCAGCATCCTTTCCTTTGAGAAAGTCAGATTCGAACATGACCCTGGCCCCTAGGAGAGCAAGCTGGGCTGACCAGACCCTCCCATTCTCACCCACCAGCAAGTGCAGATCAGCAAGTCTCAGGGACCAGGAAGCCTTGTCCGCTGGGATGGCCCCAGCTACAAGCCACGCTGACCACACCCATCCTGGGGCTTGATGAAAGAGAATGTTGTGTGGGAAACCAGAAGCTGGGTGAACATGAAATGGGACCAAGAGCCAGGACCAACGGCTCTCCACACCCACAGAGCAAAACCAAGTGCAAGTAGTCCTTCCACTGGTCAAACACATGATGAAAACTATGAAGAATGTACGAGATTTTTTGTTTTTATTTTAACTTTATTACCGTAAAAGATACATTGTCATAAATTCTCCTCAATTTTTGAAAGGGATTCATGGCAACGTGTCATTTACCATAAAAAATTATATTTAAACATTCGCTATTCTTTTGATCATACTACATATCTACTCTAAAGGTCACAGTCCACGCACAAGTGACTTGTTAACAGTACTTTGGGGCCACAGAGAATGTCTGCTTTTGTTTTATATTGTATCTATCATTTGGA